TTAGTAATCTTTGTGAAACAGCTAATTTAGTTGTCTCTCTTTTTTTGTCTCTTTTTTGTCTTTTAATTCTCTCCCTTCACATTCTGAAGAGTAATCTGAAATGCAGAATGGATAAGAGCAGGATTTCACAACTGTTTTTAATAATCTTAAATGTGAACCATTTACAAATCCCATCTTTATTGCTACAAATTTTGTCCAGGCATTAGAAGACTGTAGTGAGTACAACTCTCCTGGTACCTTGTAAAGAGTTTTCAAACTTTTCCATTAGAAAAAAATCCAACCAAACACAGTCAGTGCATGATCCAGCTAAATTGACTGTTCATTTTAAAACTCCAAAGAGCCAAAGGTCCCCTCTATCTCTTCTCAGGACTTTCCCTTCTGGACTGTCAATGGAGCAAGTCCTTGCCCCTAAGTTGCTGCATGTGCTGTATTGCACCAAAAAGAAGCCAGTGCCAAAACTGCAAGGTGACTGCAGATTTTCTGCCTGTCATGCACTTCAGTCTGTGCCCAGGTACTGATATCCTTCTACGCTGCAAGTGTGTGTGGTCTTTTAACAAGTAGGCATAACTGAGTGCAAAAAAATTGCTTCATACAAAAAAAAGAGAGTAATTTATTTTTAGGTTTTTATAATACCTTAATTAGACTAGCTAATTAATGCTTCTGGAGCATGTGAATTCTGCCTTTCTCAAGTAGGGGAAATTAGAGAACTGTAGATCTCTTTGAAAATCTTGGCCATTACTCAAATTACTTTAATTTGTATGAGATTTCTTCTTGAAACACAGAATTCCCCCCCTGCCCCCCCAAAACCTGCAGTGAGTTCCATAAGGTAGGTACACAGAACCATACAAAAACAAACTAGCTTTGATTTTTCAGTGCTCAGCAACCAGAAAGAGAATCAAGGTTAAATGGAGATGCAATTATTGTATGGTTCTTATTATCAAGATATTTTACTAAAGCCAACCAGTTTTGTAATATTACATAACATTCTTGCACTTCCAAATAATGGGGTATGTATCATCTCTGAGTATTTAATTTTGGTAAAGGTTTGCTAATCTACAGACAAACACATGCAGGTTAGTTTTCACTAGAGCTGGTAAAACAAAACTTCTGGACACAGGCTATGGAAGCGACAAAAAAAACAGTTCTGGCACATTTCTGCAATTGTGTGTTTATATATTGAGTGAGAAAGGAAATAGTAAATAAGGAAGCTTGTTTCAAGTAGGGGCTGTATGAACAATTTTGTACATTTCCAGGATTTTAAAGGCAACAGCAATATAGAGACAAGAATAAATGTAGGGTTGTAGAAGGTTTCAGTCTGCTTCATCTGTTTCATCTGCTGACTGCCATTTGAAAAATGCAAATTTCTACTGTTTCAGTACCTGGGAGAGTGTTTTCTTGCTAACAGTAGACTTTTAAGTTTCAGTGCCAAAAAAGTTCAGTAGATTGTCAGCCTTTGCTACAAACACCATTCAAGCAAACCAACTTTCTATTTGTAGTTTAAATTACCCAGCAAACACAATGGAAAACAAAAACAAGCTAGTCTTGTGACATACCCAAAAAACTTCATAGGTAGACTTCATACACCTTTTAAAGGCATGATGAATGACTATCCTTGTATAACCAAGCACTTATAAGAAAACTTTCTGAAAGAAATTGTTTAGTAAAAAATGAAAATATTGCACAAGCCAGCTGTGAAGAGTTCAAAAGGGTTTCTGTGTGTATGCAAGCATAATGCCTTATTTTTCATACTGTCATATGCTATAAATTTAAGTGCTCAACATTGGACCAGCCAGGTGTCAAAAATTAGTACTGAACCCACCAGAAGAGATGTTTTCCATTTTTAAGCATCATCCTGGTCTGTGACAGAACTGTTTGGCTTTTTCACATATACTGATTCTACTAGCAGAGATAAAATATTATCTCTCTTTAAATAACTATCTTTAGACCAAATCTGTTCACTTCAAGTGAGTTCAGTATGATAAATATTTTGATTTCTAAAATAATAAGTGAAATAATCTAAACACTTAGTACTATTCAGTTATTTTTTGAGAATACTAGAATAAACCTCTGACAAAGGGTTTGCTTTATAATTTAAGCCTAATGTAAGCACAGCATGCAGTAGGTTTCTCTCTTTTCTCAATGGTACTTGACCTTTACTTCACTGAATGGGTATCTTAATCTGTTAGGCACTGTATGCTGTTTCCTATGGGAATTTGAGCTCTCAGTCAGACTTGATTGCTTTCCATTATGGTTTAAGGTGTTAGGAGACTCAACAAGACTGTTCCACTGTCAGAACACTGATGTAAAAAGAACTCAGGAGTGACTGGTCACTCTTTTGCAGTCTGCTGTATAATGTAGCTTTTCCTATGATCTGTGAATTATGTGATCAATCTGCATCACAAATTTGAATAACATTCCAGTTATTTTTTAATTCTGTTGTGTTTCTCCCTGCTGGCCAGTCTGTCCTGATCCCAGCATGAGACTCTCATAAAAAGGTCAGCATTGCTACGTGAGTCATCTGCCATTATGCAGAGAAAAATTTAACTGGTCAATCATCCACGTCAAAGGGAGTCCTTTTCATGATTTTAATAGACCTCTGTAAGGTTTTTAATTGAGAATAGGTTGCCTCCACGTTGTTCTCAGGAGTGAATTGTTAAAATCTTTAAAGGCTGAACTTCTCAAATCTCCTTTGACATGTATCTAGTTTTTTAATAAATTCATTTAGAATGTGCCTGCATAATTTGGTCATATGTTGGCACTGAGTCCTCCTCCTCTGCTTTATCACTAAAACAGTAACATTAAAAAACTGTATCACTGATCCAAAGTAATTTATCTCTGTGCCTTTTGTAGCCTTGCAATGAGTAGGCAATTTTGCTGCTTTAGTTGCAAAAAGCCACATTGTGACCACATTCCAAAGAAGCCTTTGGAAATTCTTCTGAATTCCAAGTTCAGAAAATGTGTTTTAAACCTTGCATGTTGCATTTGAACCAAAGATAAATCAGTGAATAATAGAGAAAGACACTACTACTAGGATAGTTAAGTTTGCCATGGTTGTGGTTCCTTCTTTCAAGATCTTAGTGTTCACTTAAGATACCAGTTGTATGTTAATATGAAAGAAGCATTAAACTGACTGTAACAAAATTAAAATTACAAGTTACAAGAGTATTTTTTCTATACATCTTGACAGATATTTTAAAACAATAGCAGAGGACTACCACTGATTTGTCTGGATAAAAAGATTTCCATCACCCTTACAAAATTTTCTCATCTTCCATTATGATGCCAGTGAGCTGGCAAGATAAAGGTATAATTATGCAAACATGAGAAACCATACAGTAAGTTAAACAGTAGTTATCTTCATAACAAAAATGGATTCAAAATCTGTTTCCAGAAGCATATCACTCCTGGGGAAGGTTATATTTCCCTAATTACTCTCAACAGCTCCATCTCAGGATTCTCAGCACACAGAATAGTTTTTATTTGGAGAATACCTAAAAAGCCAGCTGCAACTCTACAAATGCTGCATATTGTCAGATTATATAAATTTAACTCTTAAAGTCCTGATGCCTAGAGAAATAAATGGGTTCTATGTCTTCAAAATCTCAGATGAGGATTTATTGATAGTCAATTCTTGTAAACCACTGTTGTGAGGTCTTTATGTTCTGTACCCTTCTGTGATTCCTTACAAGTTCCATACAGTACTGATGCAATTAGTCCAGCCCTGGAATGAGAAGGGAAAGGCACAAATGCACCAGCACAGAGCCTGCTCATGTCTGGCACTAATACAGCAGTGGCAGCATGAGGCAGACTCAGAGGTCCATGGTGCACACAGGGCATGCTTTTGGGGCCCCACTGCTCTCTCCAGCAGTGCACAAGTACAATGTCCTACCTCAGCCTGTGCTCAGCTTCTGATTTATTGAATTGCAGTTGTTTATTCTGCCCAACAAAATAATAAATTGTAGTTTTACGTTCTGGCAAATAAAGCCACTGAAAGAACTGAGTGGCCATTTCAATTTCTCCGACAAATGTGCTACAGGCTCCATCCTCAGCAGATACTACTATATTCTTGCTAAAGAAACAAAACATAGAAAGGACATAATAGGTTGTCAATGTTTGCATCTGTTCTAGCTAACAAAGCTACTATCCAGAAATGTACATCTACCATGAACAGTGTTAGGACCATAAACAGTGATTAATAAGAGTGTATGCAAGTATAAAACATTTGTATTGTGAAAGTCAGCCATACTGCTTATATGCCTGCAGGGCTCACTTTGGTTCACTTGAAATGTTCATTGTGAACTAGACATAAAAAGTTCAAGTTATTGATTATATTGATATAACAGGAAAGTTAAAAGCTTATTGTCGCATTTCTGGGATCGTTAGTAGTGTATATTTAAATAAGTGATAATGCTGACCCAGCTTGCAAATCTCGACTTTTGTCCTTTTCAAAAATAACCTCTTTTTACAGGCTACCTGCCCACTTCTTGGTTTCCTCCTTGGTCTCACTCCCATCTTCTCATCACATTTGCACAGCTCTTGCTTACAGAGTATGAGCAGTCTGCTTAGGAAATGAACCCCAACACCTCCAAATTCACTCTTCACCTCCGTGCTGAGTTATTAATTCTATTCTCTAGTCACTTGTTTTTCTTCAGTCTTTTAATGATCTCTTGCCAGTCTCTCCTGTTTCTCTCTCTCCTTCCTTCAGAGTACGTGCACGCGCACACACACACGCACACACACACATTTCCTGGAGTTGTCACCTTCCTGTGCACTCCTACCCTCCATCCCTGCTGTCAGCTTCATGTACCAGGATCCTCATTCAATCTCAAACTCATTTTTATTGCTTTCTGTTTCTGCTTATGAAGAGAAGATGTTCTGGTTCTCTGCTATGGAATGGTTCTCACGCTAGGAATGAAATACTTATTAAAGAGAAGTTGAAAAGAATTTAATTTTGATTTTTTACTTTTATTTCCATGTTTTTTTATTTCCATTGTGCAGAATTCAGTTGATAATAGGACATAACTCAGAACAAAGAAATTTCCAACAATGTCAATATATATTTGATAATCTTCCCATTCTTTCTAGTAATCTATTCCCTATTTCAGAAGATTAGAAGGCTGAATATACATTGACTTTTTCACCAAAACTCATGAGAGGCTCACAAAAGTCAGTAACAATAAACAAGTAGAATGAGAGAGAGCACGGCAAACAATAATAACTGAAAATGAATTTATTTGAATTCACTATTCTAGGAAGTGACACAGATGAGGATCCCACAGATGAGGGTTGAGTGCCAAGTGAGTACAATGGAAAATCACTGAGCTTTCTTTTTGTTTCACAGTGCAAAAGGTTATATACTTCATACATTATGATGTGCAATTTTTTTCTTTGTATGGCTAGATTTCTTCCTTAGTGTGTTCTACTTTTTACTCAGGCATTTTATTAAAATTCTGCTTGACAAAGGCACAACAGGGATGCCTTGACAGAATGCTAGATTAGTAAAAATGTGCGGTTAGATTAGTGCCCATAAAATGAATGGATATAAAGTTATTTCTAAAAGTACATATTAAATACATTATTTTCTTACTCCTATCCCTAAAAACTCTGCTTTCATTGTTATCATTTGAGGTATACAGTTAGAGCACCTGGAACCAGTCAGTCCATTGAAGCTCATTCTTTCACATGTATTATTAATAAGAAAAGGATTCTTACAGTAGATTAAAGGTACAGTAAGAACTTTCACTGTCTCCCTGCATTCTCTGGATGCTCATTGATGCTTTCAGGAAGAAAAAAAAGGTAGACTGAGTTAAAATTCTGCCATGTTTCACTCTTCAGCGTATAACTGGAATTAAAAGATATAGAAATGTTTCCTTTACATGAATCAGGTGATAGGTTTGGTAAGAGTAGAGTAAAAAGAGTGCCATTTTAATGTAATTAATACAGAGAGTTGGGTTGTTATATACCCAAAGAGGTTATGGCATTTTACTGCAGATCCAGAGTGGATCATCTCAAGTGATACTAGAGAGGTTCGAATACTACCACGATGCTTTAGCCAAACAATTCAAAGCTGAAAAGGAGCAACAGAACTTCATGTCTTTTTCTAAGAAATTATTGCCAAGAAATCCATGACCTTTTTCCATGCCTCCTCTGAGAGGAATATCCTTGGGCTGTGCATAACACAAGCAGTTGTCTTCCCTACTCAGTGTAACACAGCCTGACTTTCACCTGGGATTGGTGGCCTGTAGTAAATTCGTGATGGATGGCATGATTCTGGAAAAGCATAAAAGTAAACCAAGAATAAACTCTAGAGGGTAATATATAAGTATTCTAGATTTTAATGTAGAACCTTCCTTGGCAAAATGTCTGTGAATAGTCAAGAATAAGATATTTAATTACCAGAATGCCTTATGAGCAAACTAGGGAACTGGCTGCTTTGTTTAAGTATTTAAATGTTGGTTTAGAAATGGAAGCCTGTATTTCCCCCTTGACATTCTTTGCCTGGGATACACAGCTGTATAGTTAGCATACAGGCTTCAAGAAAAAAAAAGTCAGGTTTGTATCAGGAAAAAATGGTAAAGACAGGTGTGAGTGACAAGACCAACTGCCCAGGGGGAAAGTAGTAACTTTTTTTGTAGCTGATGATGACTTGGATATAGAACATCCTCTGTCTGACCTTATCTGCTAACTGCAAGTCATTTCCACTGCAAACAAGGATTTGTCCTGTCAGATTGTCAATACCATCTATTTCATATTTGTAACAAATTACCCCTTTTTTCACTGTGCTGGCTTTGGTTGGGACTTTCTCACCTCTGTGTAAGAATGCAGCCAAATGCTGTCGTCTGTGTCTCTGGCACTAAACCTCAGCATGCCTGGGGTGGGGGCTGATGAAGAAAACAACATAATAGATGTTGATTGTCTCCCTTCCCTACATAAATAACGTCAGGAAGGTTGTTGTGGCAGTGCTTTTGGCATTAGATTATCTAAAGGTGGAAGGTCCTGGTTTTTCTTCTTATTATTAACATGCAAGTAATTCCTTTTACATGGAAATTAGAATAAAGCAAATGTACTATCAGGAGAGAGCATGTGCAATACAGCCTTCCTCATTTCTGTGCACCAGTATTACCATTTGGGGAAGAATAAAGTGTGATTATTTTTCTTAAAGGCATTACATGATTTATTTCTTCATCCAGATGATAAGGCAAAACAAACTAGTTTTACTTTTCCAACAGGCTTTCAAACCAGAAAACTGTCTATCTTCCTGGTAGATTTTCTGTTTTCTAATGTAGGCAAATAATTTTTTTTTAGAAAGATAAAGAACTAAGAAATCCTTATTCTCAGAAGTTACCTAGAGCCACACAGAGCTTCAACTTGGAGTCCTGAATTTACCCAAACACCAGTGTTACATGATGTTGTTTCCAGAGGGGCTGGAACATCATTTGTTCCAAACAGCGAGTTAATTTGCCCCAACAATTAACTACCACAACTGAAATTCAAGGATTTTCAGTGCCAAACATGGCTTTGAAATGGAAGTATACTTGCTGATGTATTTGCAGACAGGCTGGTGACTGGCAGGGACATGGAGGGCAGGAGTCTCTGCTGCTCTGCAAGGCAGGGCTTGCTCACTCGGCCAAAGGCTGCAGCGAGTCCTGCCACATCCTGTGAGCAAGGCAAAGCTACACAACTCCTGCTTGAGTGGAAAAAGGGCCACTGCTGGAGTAGCTCAGCCACTGAAGATGGCTTTCTGAATGGGACCACAAAAAATGCTGTACTTTATTCCCGGTGACTGTCAAACCTTACTCAGGTGAAAAAAGCAAAATCAACTGGGAAAATGGTTGTCTTGACTTTCAGGTCTTTTCTTATATTTCTTTATTTTCCTTACTGAAAAACCCAAATAGCCTGTTCCACACACTGGGCAGAATTTTTAGCAGTTATCTCCTTGTAAATGCTTCTTGGAAACATAAGCTTCAATGTAGTTCTAGTTATTGAATAAGATGCTACTAAATTTATCAGTATGCAATGTCCTTCTTGATGTTCTGGTGTAAACCAGGAAAATGTAACTCTCAGAAATAACATGAATATAATTCCAATCCTTTTAAGTTCGTGAATTGGCTCAACTTTAATACATAGATCTGAGATTACTTCTGGTTTGTATTTGATGATGGTTTCTTTGAATTTCATCTTTGTTTGGAGATATTTTATTTCCCATTTTTGATCAAGTACATTTGTCCACATGACTTATCTTCAAGATAGGGAGATGACAGTTCCTTCCCAGTGCAAATATGCCCCATAACTTTTTAAAGTTGTAGGAGTACTAGCACTGTTCCCATCTAGAAATATAGATTCTGCTGTTGCAAGCAGCTCAGTTTAAAACAAACCAAACAACTCCTCCCCACCCCCAAATTCAAGCATGTTTTTAATAAGCATAATCATGAACAAAATACAGTTTTTCCTTCCTATATTACATAACTTTTTTTGAGCTAAAACATGTATTAGTGCACATGAGCTGTCTAACATACCAATTTGTTAGAATTCCATATGGGTATTTTTCTGTTTTTCTAAGACTTTGATTACATTCCATCCCGATTCATCTTAAAGGTGTGGTGGTTGATTACAGAGGTGGATTGAAGCAACAGGGTCTGAATAGGTATTTCCCCAGAGATCTGCACAGGCTTCTCTGAAGAGGAGCATGGGATTAGGAAGTAACATGATTCACTGTACACAGAATACAGAGCAAATGGACAACTGACCATATTGTGTCATCAATCAATGAACATCCCAGAATCTTTTTAAGGATATTTATATGATAAAGTTGTTAGACTCCATTGATTCCATGAAGGGCTGAACACTTCCGTTTGCACCAAGAGCAAGCTGTAGGAACCTCTTTGAGGTAAAGAGCTTTAGAGGCCACTGGAAAAGATCAGAAAGAAGGGGAATGCATCAAATGGTTAATATCCTAAAAGTTAACAGCAGCCTATTTTGAGACCAAAACCATAACACACTAGACTCTAGATGTCACTGGCAGCAATAGAAGGTGACAAAAAGAATTCCAGGAGGCTTAATTTTATACAACCACAACACTAGGAAAGTTTAAATACAGCTTTGATCTACAAAGGAAGGTGGAAAAAGTGTTTGCACAATCTGGCAGCTTATGGAGACTTCAGATGTATTAACAGACCCCTGTGCCTCCATGACCAGAATCTGCCACCTCCTGGATGAGAATGCATCAAAATATTTAAAGGGAAAGATGTAAAAACTAAGAAGATTGAGTTGGATTTTATTAGTTCATTATAGTTTGAAATTCCAAACTAAACCACACCTGGGTACTGACCAACAAAAACGACATTATTTAGGTGTATTATGATATACCTTAATGCAATAAAATCTTACTGCAGAGTAACCGGTCTTGTGATGCTTAACCTGGGAACAGGAGCTTCAGAGAGTGAGAGTAAAGTTACAGTAGAAGTATCCAAAATTCCAAACATGATTTTAGTTTTTAAGGACTCATATAACAAATAACTCTATTTGTTAATCCAAATAAAAAGAACTTAATGTTTATGAAAATTAAAAAGATTTTTTTTGTAGCACCACAGTTTTCATCACTTTTAGTATTAATTTAGTTTTAGATTTTATCTTTATTTTTAAGAAAGGTGAAAAAAATGCTATATTTAAAAAATGAATGCTTATAAGAAATGCTTTAGCTGGAGGAGAAGCTTTATTGATTTTTAGGGGTGGGATTTGGGAATTGAATTTTTCTGGATCATAACATTTTATTTACTGGTGTTTGATAAACTGCAGTGTCACCTGCCAGCTGGCTTCAGTTAAAGAAAGCTGATTGATAGCCCAGGACATACACAGGAAGAACAAAATTATAAAAATGGTAGAAACTTCCTCCCCACCCCCCCCACCCCAATTAGTCAGGCTAGACATATTCCTTTGGCTTGAACAGGATCATTCCTTTATTTATTGCCTGCATTATTCTAACTCTTATAGGTACCAACTACCACTAAAGTTTCTATCTACTAGGCTCTTAACATTCTGTGCAAAAAATTGGTTTGGCCACACTATACAGTCCCTGAATGAGTATCATCATACAGGGGAATTTAGACATTTATCCAGGCGCCTTTCTTGCCCTTTGTATGAAGATGCCTGTGTTAGACAAAGTACTCCAGCATTCAGGAGTTAAAAAAACCAAGCAACTTACATTAAAATAATTTACAAGTTAAATGCAGAGATAGAGAGCAATAGTTTTTCCCCAGTGGGGGTTTGGTTTGGTTGGGGTTTTTTTGTTTCTTTTGGTTTGGTTTTGCTTGTTGCTTTTCTGTTTGTGGGTTTGGAGTTTTTTTGAGGTTTCCAAAATAACCTAATGACTAATTCCTTCAGTTTTCTACACACCACGACTAGTTTTAGGTGTCGTCACTAGCCACATAACCACATGGCTGTTTTTTCATTTCTCTGTCTTACTGTTTGTCTGAATCTTGCCTTAACCTTTTTCATGCTGGCTGTGGTCTGCACACAACTGCTTTTCACATCTATTAATCCTGTTTCTTGACTTGTGATTTGAAGGAGGTCCTTCTGTCAAAGGAAGATGCCCTTTTCAAAGGGTCAGAAGCCCAACTCCACCTGCCAAGTTTTCTACTTGAGTTAATAACTGGCAGCAAGGCCAAGGAAGCTTGTACCATCATACCAGTATTCCATACCCATATTTTCTGTCAACAGATGTGTAACAAAGAATGCAAGTGGCAGACAGTAATCTTAATTTTAACTGGTATTAACAGTGACTTATAATTTAAATTATACGTAATTTTCTGGATCACCAGTTTTCGTGAAAAACAATGCTTAATTAAACTGCTATTATCAGAAAGGTGTATCTTTATCAGATACACTTTTTTTTTATAATTTCAGGGGACTATGAATTTAAACATATTCATGAAGACTACAAAATATATATGTAGTACAATTGTTCTGTTTTGTTTTGAACATCTAGAACATACCAGATTAGACCACAGAAAATCCTTGTAATGTTTGGGGAAAATGACCAGACACAGGGGTACAAACCATACTTTACTGACAAATGGTTATGAGAAATCTGTGACTTTAGAGGCCTCTCTTTGACTACAAGCTCTCACTACTCCATGCCAATTTTCTCTTCTAGTAAAAGGGAAACAACGATCTGTCATTTACCTTTAGGATTTTCTAATTCAGGTATAGAAAAGATCCCCTGTACAGCGCTATTGAAAGATCCTTGTACAGCCTCACATTCTATTTAGAAGAAAGGTGAACAAAACCTCTGTTCCTATTCATTGAAGTCTCATTCATCAAAGAATGAATAATTCTGGCATACCATCCTGACCCTATATTTTATGATACCAAACACAGCAGCTGGAGAGTAGGAAAGTGCAAATGAGTCTTCTGTTTTGTGGATGCTATCAATCTGAGTGGTCCCATACTTCAGAAAAGCAGACAAGGAGCTCTTAGTTGTTTACTTCATTTATCATCAAGGAAATGCTGATCACAAGTTTCCTCAAGATTAGTTGGCAGTTAAAAAAAAAACCCAACAACAGAACCAAGTCTGCACTAAACAAGCACAACTCATATGGAGCATGTGAGGCCTGTTCAGCATCTCCAGAATCTGTAAGAGTAACCAATGATATAGTTCCTTGGTGGTTCTTCTTGCCTTCTGAAAGCAAGTGCTAAATTAAGAAGACAGTGTTAGTGATTTAGGTACCTTCATCAATTTGACAAAAAAAAACAACCCCAACTAATCAGAGTTCTCAGCTTCATTCCCAGAGGAATGCAGACTTACATTGAGGTTGGAAGGTCTACCTAATCAAAGCCCCCTGCCAAAGCGGGATCACTTAGAGCATGTTGCACAGAATCACATCCAGGGAGGTTCTGAGTATCTCCAGAGAAGGAGACTCCATGACACCTACCAAAGGACACTATCAGAATAAAGCTCACTTGCAGTGCAACTCCTGCAACTTTATTTACATTTAAAAGTTGCATTAAGGAGATCTTGGCAACATAACTTAATTCACGCCTGATTTACATATTTTAGAGCTGGAAACAGGAGTCACCCATGGTTGAAAACTTGATGCCACAATGCAGCAAGCCGAAGGAAATTGCTTATTGGTCAGCCTCTGTCTAGTATAATAGTCATTGGAAAACTTTCTTACACAGGTCTGTGGCTTTCTTACATAGGAAGAATAGCTGGTCTGTGCATAGGGAGGAACAGGTGGTAATTGCCTGGGCAGATTGACACTAGTCAGCTTTAATGTAATTCACCTTAAATTACTCTTCATTGACTGAAATGCAGCTACCTGCTTTGTCCAACCTCACCTCCATCTTTAGACAGCTGGAGACAACCTGGTCTTTCTTGCACAATCCAGCTATTTGGTAGGATTATCTAATTAATATGAACTACACTGTAGAAGCATCTTTTCTTTCAGAAAATAGAGCTATGGGCGGGACTAAGGGAATTTAATGAGTCAAAGCTATTATTTGAAATCTAATATTTGCTTGCTGAGCAGCAGTAGTAGAGTCTTTATTAGGAGAAACAGGACTGATAGACTTTGGCTGTGATTCACCATACATTCTATTTTGTCTCACTGCTCTAGGTCCTTTTCTTTTTCTTATAACTTGAATAAGCAATTTACAGCCATCCCAGAGCTGGGTGGAAATGCTGGGATAAACACTGTAGTGAAAATTAAGGGTGTAATGGCAGAATAAGATGATTCACTACTGTTCAGAATCTCTGCATCAGTTCTGCACAGCAAGGCCAAACATTTTAATGTACGTCTAAACACATATAGCACCAAAACTACAATATAGAGGTCTACTGCCCTAGGCTACATCCTTGAGTAGCTACAGTGCTGTCACCTTGAAACAGCTTCCAGCCCTGACTTGTGATTCCAACATAAAACAGCAGGGAAGGATCATACCTGCCACAGCTGCTGTCTCTGAGCAGCCCAAAGCTCATTCATGCTTTTGTAAACAAGCAGGTACTATCTAGGTAAAATGTCCATCAGGAACAATGTCACATAAAGACTACAGAATATATGGCACTAAAGACATTATAATTTCACCTCTAAATTACAGTTTGGAATTACTCTACTAGTCACACAGTTGCTATCTCTGGACATTTAAGAATTGTGTGTATGTGGGGTAAACCAGCCAAGCTAACTGAATGCCCTGCCTGGACACAGCAATTCACACAGCTCAGACACAGGATCTACAGATACTTACGAAAGGAGCAGAAGCAGCATTCCAGTATTTTCCCTATGCCACACCTCAAATTCCTGAACATTTTCCTGGGAGGGCTCAGGATTTGCATATAAATGCCTACACTTTTTTTGTGACTGCTGCTCTGGAAATAGAGAGTTCACAGATACTCATTTTGCCTCCTGTAAATATCTGAGCTTTAACAGCTCAGTGCCAAAGCCGACTTAATATTTTTCCAACAAAATCAACAAGAAGTATCATGACTGATAAAATTAGAACCCACTGCTATTACTATATTGTTTTTCTCTGTAGTTGTATTTAAAAATTAAAAAGTACTGGAAGTGCAAAAACATTTGCAGATAGTAGCAAGACATCATAAATTTTGTTGACTTCACAAATTTTATTTGTGATGAAAACCTGAATTCTCAGTTGACCTAAGAAATCAATCAGAGGATTGTCAACAATCCCATCAGATTAGAAGCTAAAGTCTGTGAAAATATAGCTTACCAGAAGATATTTCCTTCCTTTTAAGAATGTTTTTTTTCTTGACAGCAAAAATTACAAATGCAAATATACCCTATAATTTCTATATCTAATGAGGATTGAATCATTAACAGCAAACTTCAGGTGTTCTAGAGAAGTGGCTGTTTTTTATATTTATGCTGCCTCATGCAAGGGCATCCAAATTA